GCCTTTACTATTAAAAAACCTTTATGAATTACATGTGAACATGATTTTTTTACTATTTCTTCAGTCACAGAAATAAAGTCCAGAAAAACATGTTTGGGATAAATCTGAAATATTTCACCTGATCCAAAGCCTAGTTTTCTGATTATATTTCAGATCTTTCAAAAGGAATGTTTAGAAAAGGTCAGTTGTTAAACAAATCTTGCCATTAACAAACAAAAAAGAAATAAGATTGTCCTTTATAAAATGCTGGTATGAATTATTTAAAATGTTTCTCAAGCCTTTCTTTGTTTTTGTTTTTTTTTTGTACTTGAAACAGTTTGCTATATTCAACTCCCTTCTACAAACTGTTTAAGTCTTTACAAAACTACATTTCTGAGACAAAAATACACCATTTGCTCAAAACATGAAACCCAACACAGCTTTCATATGAACACTGACCCTGTTTATGGTGAATTTGGTTTTCCAGTCTGGGTAGGGCTGGCCTCCTTTCTGTCCACCAAATTAATTTCTGTTAATCTTACACAAACAAGACATAAGGGTCAAAAATATTGTTGTTGACAGTGAAATGAGAAAGGATTGGAATTGGTGTGTGCCCTCTCCTCCCCATTCACACAAATTCTTGCAGTCCCTACATTCTGACTAGAAGGATACAGCAGTGGTGGGATTTCAGAACATTTCAGCTAATTCATGGCTGTGATTTACTGAGGGCTGATACTGTCACAGCTCCCCCAGAGAAGGAGCACAGAAAAGGAATGGGAACACTCACTGGGGCATGCGACAGAGCCTTCAGAGAACGGTCAGGAAATTTCATCTGCCTTGCCCTGGCATTTCTGGGGTGCCTCAGTGAAGAGCTTCCCAGACTGAGCAACACATCCCTTTTGGTGCCAGTGTAGGATTTTGCCTCTGAAAGGTGAGGCTGACAAATTGGAACTAATCTGAGACGGTGTGGTACAGTCATCTCGCCTGCAGGGACACATTTCAGCATTCAGCTGCAGAATGCCAGCTTAAGAACAAGCTCTCGATAAAGGAAAGTTCAGGCCAAGCCTGGGGATGCACGACTTTTAAATCAAGAACACTTTTTTTCTCCCCTTAGTCTACCCCCTCCTCCCTGGGGATGGCAATATGATAATGCTGTGCTGCAAATAGAGGGAGAAAAGTTGAGAAATCTCTCTTCACTGCACTAGTTTTCCTTTATTTCCTAAAGCTGTTTCACAGTTTAATCCATCAGAGCGGGTGAGATTAGTGCTATGGAGAAACTCACAAATATTTTTATTTTTGTGCCATGTTTTTTTAAACTAAAGCTGAAGTTCAAGTCATGCACTACCCCCAGCAAAAAGAGTCTTTCTATGCAGGTGAGAGCTGAGGACAAGTTGCCAGCTATAAAAGAGGGAAAATTATGCTGAAGACTCTCTTTTAGCTGGGTCAAACAATGGCATCTTCCTGGGCAATTTAATTAACAAGCCCATGCAGCATAACATCATCCATACACTGTAACTACAAAGCCAGCTACACTTAGAAGTGTAAAGACACCAGGTTTAAGAAGCCTGTCTTCCTGTTCTGGAAAAGACTGACACCAGGTTTAAAGACTTCAAGAAAAGGGAGAAGCCTGTCTTCCTGTTCTGGAAAAGACTCTACATCCTTGGCCACAGCAAACAGCAGGTACCTGTCATTATTCTGTATTTCAGGAGCTGGGTAAAATCATGCAGCAAGAAAAGGACTTGGAGAGTAGTTTTTCCACTGAAAAAACTGTTTAAAAAACAAAACCAAACAAAGCCTACAAACCTTGTGTTCCAATTGTTTATAGACTTCCTAAACATTCTGAATTAAAGGAGCTGCTTAATCTGCCCTGTACATCCCACAAGGCACCTTGTCTTTTCATTCCTAATTGTATAGGAATAAAAATTCTTAAACTCTTGCATATACTTGAATAAATCAGTAAAGTTTAGCATCCCATTTCCATGCATCCTGATACACTGAGCTCTGACATGACATTCATTTCCATGACCATTTCTTTTAGAGCCACCTGAATACACGTGCAACATATAAACAGCTTTCCTCACAGGTGAGTCTGTGCTTTATAGTTGCAGTCCCAAACTCACTTGTTGCTGGTGATGAGAATTTCACCACATCCAAGTCAGAGTCACAACCCATTTTGCCTGTTCTCTTGAGAATGAGCAAGTTGTGTAAAACAGGCAATTCTTTGTGGCAGCATTGCAAATGTGGCTTAAACTCCTAAACCTCAGTTCACAACAGCAAAGGAAGGAGGATTTTGGATGAGAGCACAGGACTCACACCCTCAGTCAGTCCTGCATCCCCAAAAATGGCAATGAAGAAAATCTCCCCAGCCAGCTGTTACCATATCACCCTGGCTTGGTGAGTGGTTGGTTCCTGTCCTGGTGCCAGGAGAACAAGTCCATCCCATCCCATCCCATCCCATCCCATCCCATCCCATCCCATCCCATCCCATCCCATCCCATCCCATCCCATCTCCCAGAGCTGCTGACACTCTCAGGCTCCTCATGGTGCCCACTGTGCCTGGCATTCCAGAGGACAGCCAAGTGCATCCAACAGTGCACTTTGCCAGTTGTGCAAGGCTGTGCACTGGTGGGGTAAAAGAAAATCCTCTCCCACACTGGCAGGAGATCAATTTACAAACTCAAGCATGAGGTTTAATTACCCATTTCATTATCTTAGCTTGCATAGTCTGAATGTGAACCTCCAATGAACCAAAGAAATAGTCACCAGCTGCTGCTTTGAGAAGGAGGGAGATAACAGGAAGTTCAAATGCCTAAAACTGCTCTTGCTGTATGTGGCACCCCTGTTTGCAAAAGCAGGGAGTTATCCCCAGCCAACAGATCTGTGTTAAACCCCACTATGTGGAAAACTTCTGAAAGTCCTATTTATGTGCTAATCTGAACAAAGACCAAAAGAGATGAAGCAGAGTTATCTAGCCTATCACTGAGAAGTCTCAGAGTTAAATTTTCAAATACAAGCAAGTGATCCTTAGAGATTTTTTTAGACATTCATCCAGTAAATTCAAGTAAATAAATTGTGATGTGCTTGTGGATTTTGTATGAGCAGGAAATAAAGTGTCTGCTGCAAATTATTCACTCAGCATTAGTTAACTGCAATGCTGGCACATTACTAGGCTTTTTAATATTCTTCTCAAGATAACAGGTAGCATTTTCCTTATTATCCTAATTTTTAAGTTATTAGTTACATTAGGCCATTTGTAAATACAATGAAGAATTGCAAGAAAGTAAAATGGTTTTTTTCAACTAGCTCATTAAAATTCTCTTTACTTCAGGGGGGTTGAAAATCGTGCATATCATGGAAAGTGAAACCAAGAGAACACCATCAAGCTCAGCAATTCCAAATTAATTCACATGCCCTTCTCATACCTTCACATACCTGGCTTCCCAAAAGGCTTTTCAAGTTCTGAGCCATATGAATGCCTATAAAAAGCTGCATGTCTCTCAAAAACTATAAATAACAGAGCAGGGGAAAAACCCTACAGGGCAAGTGACCTTAGGGGGAAAACAAAAGCTGCTTAATTGCAGCTGCAGTTTGCTTATGTGCAAGGAACCTGGAAGAAAGGCAAGTGATGTAGTACCAGATTCTAGAGCCATTTTGGGGCCTTATTCCTGTTTAGTGACACATTCTGATAAATTCCTGGTGCTGTCTGATGCCACCACTGCAGCATCACTGTCTGATTTGGGATTTGCCAAGATCTGGGTGAGGATCACTGCAGCTGGAAGGACACCTCCTGTTCTGGGAAGTTTCACTCAGGACACCCAGAAACACTGTGGAAATCACCCCCACAACTCCCTGCTGCTTCAGCTTAACAGTGAGCAAAGAAAAGGAGAGATAAGGAGCACAGATCACAAGATCATAAATGCTGGGAAAGACCTCTAAAGCCACTGAGTCCAGCCATAACCCAGCACTGCTAATCCATGTCCCTAAGCACCAACCCACACATTTTTTTATCACTTCCAGGGACAATGATTCCACCACTGCCTTGGGCAGCCTGTTCCAGTGCCTGACCACCCTTTCAGTAAAGATTTTTTTTTCCTAATACTTAATCTAAAACTCCCCTGGCACAACTTGAGGCTGTTTCCTCAACAAAGAGCTGCCAGCAGCCCCATTTTCTGCACCTTCTATCTTCCTCCTCAGTGGTCTCCTCACCCATAGAATAACCCAGCCTTACTCTGCTTAGCAATGCAAAACCTAATTAGATCAAAGCTCAAGGTAGCCTGGCTACAAAGTGAATTGTGTTATTTAGTCTTGCACTGTAAGCAAAACCACATGCAGTATATTTCATTTCTCAGGGGCTTCTCCAGAGAACTGTGTGGTACATGTAATTGCCCCCACAAACAAATCATCAGCTAATCAACTGCTTTTCATTATCACCTCCAGCAGCACATTTATTTTGTAAATAAATGCATTAAGAGCAAACAATTTTAGGGAAAACAAAAGATTATCTGAATACGATCTCAACAGAGGAGGTGGTAAAGTAGTAATTCAAACACTGAAATGGAGCAAAATTAGCATAGGGTGGAATGATTATTCCATTCCATGTATCCCTATCTATTACAGTACAATAACAGAGTGAAATCTGTGACTTTAATGGATGATCTGGGTAGTTTAAGGGAGCTCTGATTGACTGACACATTTACATAGAGGCTGATGAGCAGCATAATGAGTGCATTTATGAAACACAGCTAAGGTCTAACTGTAAGCTGACATTAACTCCCACACTCAGAGGAGGCCTGTAGAGCAGATACCCTGCTGTCTTGGGGAGTTGCTCTCTACCTCCTGAAACAAACAAATTCCCTATTTTCCCCTTTCCTAGGTGGGAATTTCAGGAAGCACATGGTCACATAAGAATCTCCAGTTGAAGAGGAATGAATTGAAACAAGCCATGTAAGATTGAATGACAAAACAGTGCAAAGTGTGCAAGGCAAATATAACAATACTTGGGTTAATTCCCCACACCATACCTGTAATTTCCTAGGTAAACTCCATCAGGATTGAGCATGGGAGCAATCTTGAACACCAGGTGGTCTCTCAGTACTTTGGCAATTGGATGGTGGCTCACGAGGAAATCAATTATACCTGAGGAAAAAAATTTTAAAAGGAGTTTGAAGAGGGGTGTCCGTGACATCAGTGATTTCCAGATACTACTTGAAATTTCACATATAAAATATTAGAATGATGATTCCTCCTGGTTCCTGGCACTGCTCCTGCTTCCAACAGGACAAACCACTTGCAATCACATAGCACCTGCCACCTCCTTAAAACTCCAAGAACTTTAAGGAAAAAAAACTGAATCTGTCCTCATAATGCAAGTACACCACAGCTGCATAATCAGACACTGTCGAGTTTCCACAGAGGGAGAAGTTACTGCTCATCAGCTAAGCCACAGGAACAGAACCTTTCTGCTCATAAAGGAGAAATGAAGATACCCCTCACACCCAGCCTGCACAGAGCTCATTTTGTGAGTGGAAATTTGTTGAGATGAGCCATCTCAAATTCTTTTCAGCATACACCCAGACCTAGCCATGACATGTGCACACAGATTTCAGATCACCTGCATGTATGAAGAGGTGTAAAATGCCACACAAAAATTGGGAGAGTTGCATAATATGTGCAGAGGAATATTGTGTATTTTATGGAATTTATGAGGTCATATTCTCTTACACTCATAAAAACCAGGAGTGACTCCACCTCCTCAGCTCCTTTAGCGTGGAACCCAGGCAAGTGGTGGGGAAGCAGAACTTAAATGCCTTTCCTTTGGGCACCTCACAGCACCAGAGCCTGCAGGAACTCCTTCCTCTTGGCCTCATCATTGCCTCAGGCCAGGGCTGGTGCTGGGGCAGGAGACAGGAATCCGACAGCTAAATTCACTGCTCATCCCTCCGCTGAGTTGGTACTGACAGAAATAGCTTCCAGGGAATTAATGTTGAGATAAATTGAGTTCCTGTGTAATCTCAGGACACCCACAGATAGGTCATGACAATTTGCTATTTATTGTAAGGTCCATCCTGTGAAGCAGGAACCATTTACTGAATTTCCCCAGAATAAATCAATCACTACGGTCTAGTAACAGGATAAAATTAAGCAGAGAAAAATTAAGGCTGCTCATCAGTAAAATTTCAGTAATGGTGAGCTCTATTAGAGTGTGGAATTGTCTCTCCAGGGTAAGAGTGGAATCCCATCATCAGAAACATTTAACACTGGACAGGGTAAAACCTCAGGGAATAGCTATAACAAGCAATAATTCAGCATAGAAGGGATGGCCTGGGCTAACTAGCTGACTTCAGACCTGATTTTTTGTGATTCAATCAGGATATGAAAAAAAGCCCCTAAACCCCATGTTTGTGCCAGGTTAAACACATTTGTTTACAGCTTGGCTGAAACACGTATTAAAGATGAAACCAAAATCTCACATTCTGCATGACTCCTTCATTTAGCTAATTTCTTAAGGCCCACTTTGTATTTCAAATACCAGAAATTCTGAGCCTAGCCTGCTGTTGGAATAAATTCTAATTTTCTGAGGCACAAGGAGAAAAATGAGGCTTCTGAAATGTCTGAGATGATCAAGATATAGTTGACTCTAAACATCAGCAACTTTCTCATATCTCAGTGCCTAATCCTGAAGAGGAGAGAGAAACTTTCTGTAACCAGGTCTCCACTCGTGAAGGAACTAAACCTGAATTTCTGAGGCAAATTAGCATATACATAATTGTATTTCTCAGGAAATGTTCCTGCAATTACCTCCTCTCAATGAAGGAAACTGAACATCGATCTGGTTTTTGGCTGTTGTTGTGACTTTTGTTCATTATCCAACAGCAAGAACATGAAGGAACTATGGGGACACAGTTGGATCCTGAATAACCAGATTTCCTAACTGTATGCAAACACAAAAAGCTTAGCTATGTTAAACTGCTGCTCTGACTGTTTCCTGACAGTGTCTGAAACATAATCCACAGTACTCACACCTGGAGGGCTCAAAATAACTTAAAGAGAAACAAGCCCTCACTTAGTCCTGGGTTTCTCAAGACTCTGTGCTGGTTTTAGTTTTGAAGAGCTTGCAACTTGACTCAACTAGACTCAAACATCACATCATTTGTGTTTTCTGAAACACTTGAAGGAGTTATTCAGAAATCAGTGTGTCCAGAGCAAGTTTTATCCCAGGTTAGATAAGACCCTTCAAGTGGAAATGAAACCAGCACAAATATTGCATTCTGTGCATTGTGGATCATTGCCTCAGCAAAGGCCCTGGCAGCACAGCAGGCAGGAACATCCACAGCTCCTCAGGCAGCAGGGAGGACTGGGAATACCTCAGGGGCAACAGGACTGCTTTTCTTTCAGGGGGTGACACAAGAGCCCAGACTCTCAGGGCTTTGCTGTGGCTGTCATGGTGCCGGTGGAGGGGCTTGTCCAGCTCTGCTCATTTCCCCCCTGGTACTGCTGCAGCCTCGCTCACAGCTTGGCAGCAGCATCTTGGCAGCTGGAAGCTGCAGTTCTCAGCTTCAGCAGGCAGTTACTATTCCCCAGGAAAGAACATGCAGTGGTGTGGAAGGCTGCACATGAACATGCAGTGGGTGAGGGTCTGCTGTGCCTGATTCACTGCTGCACCCACCTAAAGGATCTTGGGCGCCGAGATCTTGGTGTCAAACATGACCCAGCATCTCCCCAGGCATCCCAGTCTGCTCGGGCTGCTGCAGCCAAGCTTCCCATCAAAAGGAGATTTACTGGATTTTCTTACTTAGCAGACTGTCAGTTAAGCCTGAAGAAGCCTTACCCCATTGTAAAAATACCAAGGAAGTGTTGAAAAGAACTCTCAGAATTCTAACCTGGAAGAGGAATTTCTAAGGAGCATGAGAAAAACATGAGACAAAAGCATACATTTACATAGACAAACCTCACCCTATAATTATTGTAAGTATCTAAATAATAAAAACAACTAGGAAATAGCTTTGTTTTTCAGAGGAACCCAATAGTTCTGGACTGTCTGAATATTCTGGATCAATAATATTTAAAATAAAAAGACAGATATCAGAGTATTAAACAAAAAATACCATTGCCGAGAACTTCGTCCTCCTGTTAATAAATCAATACAAACTAAATTTTACAGCTCCTGTAATCAGCAAGAGACATATCAGTGTATCTCATTAGGCCAGGGTTAAGAATTTGGCAGCAACCAAAGCCCATTTAATATCATTTACTTCAAGGCAGACATGGCAATACAACAGATGCCCTAATTTATTTGTTGATCTTTGTATTAAAATAACAGTTTGCTGGTAAACAGGAAGGGTAATGATGCCAGTCACCCTTGTTAGTGGCTAATAATTGCTTAAATTGTCCACTAATTGACCTGTGGTACTGTTGAAGCACTGGATCGTGTTGCAGGGCATGAAGTAAACAAGGCCACTGTAATGTTACTTTAGAGAATGACTTCTGGAAATAGAACTACTTATTGCCATAAATTTTCTTTTCACAGATGAGCAGATTAATTGGTCTGCCAATTAGTCTGCTATTAAAGAAAAAAAAGGGCTGCCCACAGATTGGTTGGATCTTCGAACTGTAGCCCCAGTTTGGGTCAAAGGAAATAATCCAATCTGAACCAGTCACGTCAGCTATGAAAAATAAGACAAGCATTATTTAAAAACACAAACCTCTGTGGCTGGAGATCAAGGAAAATAGCCAAATTACAAAATATTAACTCTTCAAGAGACTTCACAATGAAATAGAGAATGTGATGGAATGGGTCTACTGAGGCACATTACAGTGTGGAAACGTTCTCTGATTAGAAGAAGCCAAACAATATGGATTATTTTCCTCTCAAGCTTTCTGGAAAGCAATTAAAATCTTTATATTTCAAATAATAATGTGCAATTATAGATGCTGGCTGGAACCAGAACAGCTCAGAAATCAGCATTCAGCCATGACACAAGAAGAGGCTTATTCATAGTCCACTAAAAATCTACCAAAGTCTTTACATTAACTTCAAGGAGATTTTCATAGTTGCAAGCAAAAGGGAAGAAAGAATTGAAAACAAAGAAAAGGGAAAACAATACTCCCAACTGCAAGCATTGACTTAAAAATGTCAGACTGTTAAAAAACTGATTTCTTGGTAAACCCAGTTTCACTAAACTGCATTAAATTTGGACCAAAACCCTTCTACTCTGAGTCACTTCCTAATCATTATTCTTTCTCAAGGCTGCATGCAGTTTTTCAAATTTCTCCTGCCTTCAGCAACTCAGCACCTCTCATCTGCTCCAATGTTAGTTCCTGTGGCATCTTTCTGCCCAGCCCAAATTATCTGCTGGTTCTTCTCAAGCAAGTTAATCATTCACTGCTCCATAACATGTCATTTCCACTGTTCTGTCAAGACATTTCCTCAACCAACCTCCTTAAACTCTGTTAAACTTCCTGCTGGCTCTAACATGACCTCTCCACATTTGCTCCTTCCAAAGAAAAGCCAGCCTTATCCACTGCTTTTTCCATTACTCCATCCTTTCACCCTCAGTCTGACAATATATTTAATTGTGCAACTATATAATACATTTGCCCTGCTCCTATTAGTGAAAATCTAATCAGCACAGATCTTAATGCAATGTGGCAACTGCTAATGCAAACATACCCTGCACTGTATCTAGTATATGCCAAGAAAGAAGTGATTTATGTTTTCAGACCCATTTCCTAATGCTGAGTAGCTGCTGCTACCCTTCAGTCAGCTCACCACAGCCTGCAGGTTAAAGAGAATGTGACAATTGGGCTCTAACAGCCATGGGATCTATTCACTGGAAAATAAATGTAAAGGAGTCCCAAATGCTTATGCTCATATGAAACTATTGAAATGTACTGTTAAAGGAGACTGAATCCAGTGTGAGTGACACTATAGTTATGTTTCAAAAAATGTGGGGTTGGGCTTTTTGGAGAGGTTTTTTAAATGTGATAGTGAAAAAAAAAGGTGATAATGGTCAAGCAGTTACAATATCCTGTCTCAAAAAAACAAGTACAATACACAGAATAAATGACAGCAAGCCAGCACTGTGCCTCCATTTGCCTGGGAAATGTTTCTCCTTCAGCAACAGGGCCCTCAACTG